TTATTGCGTAATGCCAAACATGTCAATATAAAATATAAAAAAAAGTGAAATATCAAAATTGCCAACATACAATGTCAAATTTCTTATTAGTATCACCAAATTTTGCTGAAATTGGGAGTAAAATTTAAACACAACTAATAGGAAAACAATCAAACAAAAAAATTAAAAGGAAAAACAATCAAATACAAAAATGAAAAGAAAAAATCCAAACCAAAATCAATGCCTAATGAAGATACAATTTTTTAGAGAAAAAAAAGAAGGAATGCAATTAGTTGGAAATATTTTTTTACTTCTACAATGCAGTCTCAATTATAGAGCCCGCTAATTAAAAATCCAAATCATAGTCATCGCGACTGGCGGTAATCTCAGATCTGATGGATATAGGCGGCGTGATAGATCTGCAAGGGGGAGCGATAGAGGCGCCGTTCCGCGGCGGATCTACATGGGATGCTTCGTGACAGATCTACAAAGGGGAGAGTTGGTGCGGCGGCATTGTAAGGAGTGGTGCGGCGGTGATGTACTGCATGCACTTCGGGTGGATTTGACGGAGGCAATGCTTCAAAATGGTAAGGGTGGTGGCAAAAAATGAGAGAGGGAAGAGAGAGAGGCATGGTGGGGTGGCCGTGAGGAGATGGACCAGAGAGAGAAGAGATTAATTAGAGATTTAATATTATTTATGAGGGCTTCTTTATTACTCAATTAATTACTCTTATTTAGGGAAGTTTAAGCTTGTGCTCCTATTTTGTGGATATGACATATGATTTACTCCTATTTAGGAGGTTTTCTTTATTATCTAAAGTATACTATAAGGGTTTTTAAAATTTGTGGTAAATAATGGGATACCTCACATTTTTTGCTAAGAATTTGCGTGTCCTATATTATTAAATTTTATATTGAATAATCATTATTTTATTACTCCCTCCGTCCGGAAATAAAGTTTACGTTTCTCCTTTTTCTCCGTTCGAAAATAAAGTTTACATTTCTAATTTTAACTCACACTCTTCCAAAAATACCCTTCACCTTTTTCTAATTTTCTCCTATCCACTCACATTCTCTTATCCGCCCCTTCCTCCTCATTTACTCCACCCATATGTGACTCTTCCTCTCCTCAATAACTTCTTCGCCTCTTCTTCTCCTCACTTACAGATCTAGATCTAGATCTGTATACATATTCTCAGTTCATCCATCTCTTCAATGGAATTCCATGATTATCTATATGAATCATGCATTCCAGAAACCCAATTTGTAGATGGCGCCTACATCTACAGCTCTGACGACAAGGAGGAGGACGAGGTAATCGTTCTCGAGAATAACGAGAATGTTGCCGATGTTGCCCCGGTCAAAGCGAAAGAGCTAATCGACCTTACCTCTGAAAGCGACTCTGTTATTCATCTGGAGAGCGAGGAGGTTGAGGTCATAGTTCTTGAAACTGATACTGATGGCACAGAGGGATCTGATATCACTCCAATTTAGAATTCTTCCCAGATCTACTCATGCATGCACCTCCACATTGATATGTTGAACATCTTACTTCCCAGTCCAGACCCTAATTTTTGGGCTTCGAAGTACAAGTAGGGAAGTACTTTTACATCCTTTGTCTGCATTCCTTTCGTTATGTGATGAGTTATTGTGCCTGCGCAATATTTGATGATGTGATTGTATCATAATGTGATGTTTTCCCAATCTATGATGACTGGATTTATTCTACCTGGTCTGAGAAAGGATTATGTGCTGTGATGAGCAATTGATGAACTGTGGATGTTTCTGAGTACTTATTCTGTGTTCTTATTTTCTGTGAATACTTGATTTATATGATGAAGGATTATGGGCTGATTCTGAGTACTTATAATCTGTTAGTATTTCCTCAAGATATAAAGACATTAATTACTGTAAATAAATATCCTAGGAATAGGAAAATGTACTATGATGAACACTTAGCCATGTGTGGGTGTTTCTGAGTACCTTATATGTGTTCTAAGTTTCCTTAAGTTCAGCAATGATGATGTGGTATAAAGTAAACAAAGGTAAGGTATGCTGGATGTTGTAAATACATATAGAGCAGGTTGTGTAGTTGCCTTGTTCTGAGTACATATATACAAAGGTTCAAGCACTTGCAAAAAACAAAAATATTTTAAGCACTTGAAA